TCACAAAACAATAACAGAGGTGGATATAATGTGGGTAGTCTATACTATTACGAAGGTTCTGTTTTACCCATCGAATGGTAAGTATTTATTTTCACTAAAACTTTATATTGGAAATAATTATGAAAGAATTTTTAATTGATTTTTTTTTTCAGGACAAATCAACACTCCTGTTCAGACCCTAATAGTCACTGCGATGTAATTCTACAGTATATGTGTGGTGGTAATATCAGAGATGGCGTCACCACAGGGTATATCATATTACTTTCATTATTATTGAAATAAATAATAATTGTAATAATATAATGATTGACATTCATCATAAAGTGACAAATTGTAAATGATACTCTATGSCACTTTTCTAGAACTCATTAATAATTCATGAGCTATTAGTCCAATGAGCACCAAACTATTGGRTCACATGATGGACCTTTATATCCGATAAAGTACTGATGTTTGATTAATCAGTTCTATATCAGATATATAGAACTGATGTTTTATTAATCAGTTCTATATCAGATATAAAGAACTGATCAAGTTCATCAGCACTTTATCGCAACCCAACACTAGTTGCAGTGAGAATCTATATAACCGATAAAACATGCACTCAAGTTCTATAAACAACACATAATAACAAAAATTGTTTTCATAAAATATATAGATATGAAAATAAAATATAATATATATTTTTGAAGATAGAGAACATAAAACGAATCAAAACTTCATATTATATAATTAAAGGAAAGACATAAGTATATTAATTTGAGGATATACTGTACTGTATATACTGATTAGTTTGATATCACCAACTGCTTTAAATTTTGTTTACTTATAATTATTATTATTTTATTCCAATAGCACAATTCCAGAAAATCCTGTGCTTTGTAAGAAGTTTGACTGCAACAAGGACTTAAGGTAATTTATGACCAGTCATTGAACTCATTCTAATTGTAGTCACCTTGGACATTAAACCTTATAATCAGCTAAAAGGGATTTTGTGGAGGGGAAGGTATGGCAGGGTGTATGTTACCTAATAGCATTATCATATTATATTCATCAGAATTTTTTGTTTGATACGTAATATATACAATATGAGCGGGCGATCTGTATGTAATATACAACTCTCTTCATGGGCTATGATTTCTATTGTGTTTTGCCTTATGAATATTAATATGAATATTAATAAGTTTTATAAATGTATATAATATTATATTTCTTTGTTAAGATATGGAATGCATGAGGATTACGATTACTACCAGAACTGCAAGCACAGAAACAGAAACTTAGGACTTTTTCTTGCTGATCAGGTGAGTACTGTAGTGCTCTTAGAAAACCTTTGGAGAAAAACAATGGTGTAAATCATCGATAATCATATTATGTATTGTTAATTGTGAACATTTCTTTAGAGACTCAAAGGGAACTCAGCCAAATACACCCGTCAAAATAATGGTGGGACAAGGCGTGGCTATGAATGTCCTGAGGAAAGGGACTATTATCCCTACTGGCACCCCACTCCTTGGAAGGTAACATGCAGGAAATTAAGAATGATGGATTCCCTGTGACAATAAGCATTATTCAACAAGGCACTAAACCAGTCACTAGAGAAATGCTATCCAAGTTGTGTAATTGGCATGAGTTTATCTAGAATTCATTAGTCAGGGAGTGTTTGGATACAGAATTATAATTTTAACGTTTCATGACTCAATATGACTCATATCCTCATACCTGGATTCTTTCATTTTCCAAGCGAAAAACCTGAGGCTCTGATTGGCTACGATATCAAACAATACAAAACCTGGTTTGTGCAATATATGCATGCTGATGATGCATGGGAATTTTTGAGCCAATCAAATCAAAGACTCATTTGTCTCAAGCCAGAGAATTCAATTTTCCAAATAAGTCGCAAAAAGAAAGCACAAGTATCACATATCTACTCTTGAATGCTGCCATTTTTTTATTTCCAGGATATAGCAGTATTAACAAATGAYGCAAGCCGTTGTAACATGTACTTGGAAGAAAGTGAGAATGTCAAAGGTCGTTATGCTTGCGAGGTGCCAAAGAACTATAAAGCRGCCAAAGGGTGGAGAAATTATTACATCCCAAACAACAAAGAGGAATGTGAGGTGTGTGATGTTAAACATATGAAGTACTTAATATAGCAGCAAATTTTTGATGGTTACCTTCGTCATCTTGAAAGGTGGCCTTGCCTTTGCATCGAAGCGAGACGACCGTTGAGCGTGCAATGATAGAAACCTTCTTTCACACCTACAGACAATTATTCACAGGTTTCTATCATTGCACGCTCAACGGTTGTCTCGCTTCGATGTAAAAGCACGGCTACCTTTCAACATGGCGCAGGTAACCATGAAGGAGACTATTTTATAGTGTATCAAATGAAGCCTTGGTTGGTATTTGTAAGATCTTAATATGCGATTCCAAGCTTTTGCTGTCTATAACATTGTCAGGGAATGAAGATTGAAAAGAGTTTTATATTGTGTTATATAATCAATGTTAGTTTGCTTCAAATTAATGTTGRATCAATTTTAATGACTTATTTTCCTGTAAGCTGCCATTGAGCAAATCATTAAAAACATGAWTCCTTTATTTTCTCCACAGAAATTTCGATATCCAGCCAAGGACCTCAATGGRACCCGAGCCACGTGGAAGCTCTTTCCATCTCATGAACTTCCAAAGCCAGTTTGCCGCGAGACTGACTGGTCACGTGACAATCACCTTGGTAACAGTGTAGGGGGTTATCCWATTGGCTTTAACTGGACGATACCAGATCTCAATAGTGAGAACTGTGTACTGAGAATTAGGTGGGTTTCAGGCTTAGTTTAATAGATATGCTTGTAATAGARGTGTMTTATGAACRTATAGATTGCTGGAGGTTTACGTCAMYTACTTGATTTGAAATGCATTGTGGGAMCAAAACGACGCAAGCGAGAATTATGTGAAACACAGCKTATTTAGATTAYCTGACACTTTATTACAGATATAACATTTCCACTGGTGAGTTCAACGGATGGGATTCATCTGTAAATGCTTCTCTGAACAAACCTTTAAAGAAAGGCAAAGCTTCTTTGTTGGACGTTGGTAAACGCTTTGGCTTAAACTATACCCAGGCCTCTGAACGTGGTTACTTGTTCAAACAAAACCCTGTCGTGTCCATATTTGGTGGTGAGATTGGCAAGAAGTTTCAGCTGCAATTGGCTATTAATACCAATCAGATTGGACGCGTTTTCCAGGACAGGTATGAATTATTGCGCAAAACTCAATCGTAACTTGTAACATGTAACTCGCACTGGTAACATGTAACTCGCACTGTAACTTGTAACTCGCACTTAGAAACGACGAGTAACTTATAGCACACATCTCAGTCAAATCCGTTGTCGTGGTAATCTGTTGACATTTGTGGTAGTATTTTGTGTTTTGTCTTTCTTTCTGCACGCTTTTCTCGGTAAGTACTAGGTTAGGACCTTGTCTTGATATTTACCCCGCGAGTGGACCTTGCGCGCGATTAATAATCTCTTAATCTTCCCTTTATACAAGTAGGACCAGTAGCCTGCTCTAAACTCGACATATTTCAATTTAGGTCTCATACGTTTGGAGTTCGTCGTCGACCTAGCAACCTTGCAGGCAAAACCATTCATAACCTAAATGTACGTGGGAAGAGGGGTAATATAGTCCAGGTATACCCAGCCGTGGAGTACGACTTTGCACCGAACACGTTGATCGCGAAGAATGGAGATTATGTGCACTTCCAGTAAGTACTACACCGGGGTAAAGAAAACAAGCGAATTCATTACTAATTTCTGAATATTTAATTCAATCGAATATCACTAATCGACCAATGAATTCACAAATCCATTTAATTCAGCGTACGAAGTTAGATTTTTGACATTCGAAGCTGATATTTTTTTCATTGCTCAGGTGGACAGGTTCTAATACCAATCCTAATAATAACGATGGTCAAGGCAGGGCAAGAACTGACCGGTCAAATGTACTGTTGTTAGAGAAACTACGTTATCCCAAAGGAAAGCCCAAAAGCAATGTATATGGACAGTTTGGTGGTAGCTACCCAGAACATTTTGACCGCGTTTCATTTCTAGGACTGAAGAGAAACGATTTGATTACGTTGGCAACACTGAACAATGGYATGAAACAGTTCCTATTTTATTCCTACCTCCGTATTCCTTCACTTCCAATCTCCCTCTTTCTTCCTTCTCTCGTGGCCATTATCACCTTTCCACTACCATATCTCCCTCACTCATGTACGTTCCATTCCCTCTATTTTTCTCCTGTATGTCTCCATATGTATTCCCTTGTCTTTACCGTTTTCTTCGCCACCTTCGAATTGTAGTCATACTTCATTCCTCCCTGAATTCTTTATTTTGATCTTCCATTATCGAACACCCATTCAATCATTCGCTCATTTTTTCTTCTCAYCCTTCCTTCGTCAATTCTTCCATTTTGAAATTGTTGTYATTAACTTTTTTGTCTCYCTCTTATTYCCATTATTCGCTTTCTTYTTATAAAACCCATTTTCCTTSTCTATTTAGTCCAATAYGGTGGCGAGATGTCAGAACTTGACGATGCTGGGACGTACTTTGACCTTGGACCGCGCTCTATCACGGGGACTGGCACCTACCACTACATGAGYTCAAGAAAYAATAACTTTTCCAACAGGAGTCAGAAAGGACGCATTGTTCTTAGYGATACTGCATTGTATACCTCAAAGATWGGAGTGAATGGCGGCACCATTAAATTTAGAGAACCGTAAGTATAAGCGCCCAAAACTTGAGCTCTCAACCGTGTTGTTACAGGCCTACGTGCATCCGGGAACGTTTTCATTTGTTTGTTTTAAAAGATCTGTATGATCAAATAGTATGGCGGTTTTTCGCAGGTTAGAAAGTCGTACAAAGGCTCATGGGTGCTCATGGGCCTTTAAAGATAGTTGCAGTTTGATTCCTGACCATGTCTTGTTGATCCCAATGTGATCTCGATGATCTTGGTCCTTAAACACAACTGTGATCTCAAAGCCTAAAGATTAATGCTGACGTGATCACTTATACCGTAAACATCTCTTATTAATTAAGCCCTTGTTGCCTTAAGGCGTTCTTGCAATACCATRTGAAACAATTGAAAACTATATTGCAAAGAAAAATAACGAGCATTTCCACCTGACTAAATTTAGCATTTTGTTGCCCTGACTGTCTTTGCTATCTTGTCTTTGTAAACTGAATGCAACCTGACAGGATGGGACTATTTAGCTTGAGAAATTTGCTATTTTTCTTTCCAGTGGCGAAGGAATAACKTTCAAGCCAAAGACTCTGGCACAGATGCAGAATATTCAAGTGGAAAGAATGCCTTCAGATAAGGGCGATGAGATGATCAAGGGCAAGAATGGCAAAATGGGCGTCGGTAATGACTATGCCAGTGATTTCCTGGTAATATCTCCACATTCACTCAAAACAGACCAAAAGTTCGAGGTGAAGATGGGGTACAAAAGYGGAGTTACAGATGATATCGAAGTTTACCGATCTGATGACGATGAAGGTTTGAGGACATGGTATCAGGTAGAAGCTAAAACGTCTTCTGAGGACAATATGGTAACATTCCAAACAGACAAAGGTATTTTTAGGAAAGATTGAATTGTTTTTTCAATTGGACGAATTTCCACAACTCTCTCTTGACATTATCCATTTCCTATACTCCATTCCCCCTCTCCGCTTTCACTCTTTCACTCTTGTCCGTCACCATCCAGGAACCCAACCCATAACTACAATACATGTACAATTGTTATTTCTTATCATCCCCAAGAATAATCTCAAGGTAGTTCCACCTCAAACGCCGTATGTCGCTGCTAAAGCCAGCTTTTCAAAACTATTCAGAACTACTGTTGTTTTACTGTCTGAACTGAAGGGATTGATCAAAAGCTTGGACATCTTCAAAAACTCAAGGATTTGTGTAGTCATTTGATCTTCCTCTTGGTCGTCTTTGCCATTCCTCTCTGCGCTCCCCTATTTCTATTTTGCCCTATATTAATTTGCAATGATTTCTAACTGCATCTCAATCTCCAGGTGGTGTCTACGTTGCACGTACAGTCACCAACAAAGGTCTCCTTGCAGGTATTATCATTGCTGTAATATTCGTTCTTTTAATTGTTGGTGGCTCCATTATCTACTTCCGCCGGAAACCAGAAAAGCTGGCTCGCGTCCGATCGTGTTTCTCCAACTGTGGAAGATCTTTCAGTAGGCAAGTTTAAAAACCGGTTTCAAGCCTGCTTCACCGGATCCATGATCCATGATCCCTAATTCCTATATTTTGACATAACATTTCACAAGTTTGAAAACCGTCTCAAAATCTTTAATTGATTTTATGGTTTTTAATTGAATTGTACACTTTATTTCTATATATAAAAACACAAGCAAATTTTATAAATAAATATATAATAATATGCAGCTAAATATTGATATACAAATCGCAAATAAAAACCATCATCTTTTCATCCTGTAGTAATAATCCCAGACTGACGTTCGCGTAGTCCGAAAAAWAACTTACGTAGAGCTGATGTTTATTTTTGCTCTACTTTGRTAAACCTTTCCTCAGATGASCAGAAGCTTKTGCGATCTCTTTCCGTCTTTTCACGCTAACCATCTTTACATTCTTGTATGTCGTGGAAAACTTTTATCACATATGTGTAATTTACAGCACATGAAAGTCCTAAAATCCTTTCAAATTATTTCGAATGTTTAAAATATCATCATCTTTACGACAATGTRTATATACAAATACAGTCGAYTGCACTAGCAATTGTTTAGTTGCAGTGRTGTCTTGGGGAYACCGCCATTTTATGGAAAGTTTTCATCGCAGCGATAGAACAAGTACATCTTTTCTTTGATTGTAATATAACCAATGACGAAGTTTACTTTCCATCCTTCTTGAAGTCCAGAACGGATTCCGGGCACTGTTAAAAGAAATGAAAATCGACTGTTATTGACCGGTGACAACTACAAAGACTGAAGAAAATTGTATTGCGTGCAAGAAATTCCTGTTGTTCTCCAGTGCAATGAAGGAAGGCGATAGCTGTAGTCTTGTCAACTGACTCTTGCTTCGCCAACTGCTTTTGTAAGAACATTTTGAGCACACTTACCCTCAAACAGATATTTAAAGCAGTAGCTGTATCTTCTAGAAGTGTTAATTGCGTGTTCCTGGAGGTACATTGGTACAGAAATCTTTCTAACTTCAAAATCGTTTGACATCGCTTCAATTTCTTGTTGAGGAAGAGAATATTTGAGGTCCGAGTTGTTGACATGTGTCCCCAGGACCAAAACCAGTGAACTCCAAAAAATGGCCACGGCAACAGCAAACGATTTCATGTCTAAAATRGAGATCAACAAAAAATAAACTATTATATTCGGTCTTGATGGGCGCATTCCTCATCAAGTATAACCCAAATCGTAGATAAATTGTTCGTACCATCTTGTGCGAAAGGGAAGTTTTGGKAACCTGCACGAGCGCATGATGACAGYCATTATKGCCAATCAATTTCTTTTTCAAAAGCTTTTAGGACTTGATGATCCATCAAATATGTGTCCTATTGCCTTTATCCTTTGGCAGCGAAATGTTTCCGAACTATGACCAATCTAACTTGTAAGTGTACACTAAGTAACAAAAAGTAAGAAAGGCGGAAAGTGTTGGATTTTAACCTACGCARTCAAATGTAATTATTGCAGTTTTTTTCTTCCTTTTTCCTTTTCATTGCTAGTTCAACCAGCTTTTACCATTTTACCGTTTTGATTTCCATTTTATATATCAGTTGTTCAGGAGCTTAGAAAGATTGATGCAAAATACGCATTTACTTCGATATTATAATAATTTTATTGCATCGGATTACTTTGAATAAAATGCGCAAGTTTAGCTTACACCTTGTCGAAACTCATGCGTTATAGCGTTTGGCTCGATAATGAACTCGGAATTTAAAAGCGCTTGGAAAACCAAGCATTGGAATAGAGTAAAGTAACAAAATGGTGATTAAGCAAAACTAGTTGTCGCTGAGTTTGCAGTCAAATTGATTTTCTTGATTACATGAGTGCACGGAATCTTAACGACTAGGAAAACGTAGCAGTTTACATGAGTCCTACATACCCTACCAATTCAAATCAAATGCAATCTGAAATCATGCAAGAGAAAAYTGTAGTSTACTTACTTACTTGTGGTTACCGACTGGATACTCAGATTCCAAAGATTTGAAATATTTGAACAGGATGAAAGATATCCAAATAACTCAAATAGTTGTCTTGATCAGGACAGCGTTTTCACCAGATAGCTTGACCAGAACTCGAGATTGGCAAGTGATCTCTTCAGTGTGGGTTTCTTGAATGTTTTCTGTTTATAAAGAATATCGAGAGGATCGGTATATCTTATTTATACCTCGACCACAAAGTATACCTACCAATATATAACTACATTCCTATTGATTTTTGACATTTATCAATCAGAAGCTCGCGAAGGAGCTAGATATTTCCTTAACTGGGCAACAATTTGTTTTGTGGATATTGGCCCAATGGATGCCCTTGAAATKATTACTTTGGATTTAAAACTCATAACGCAATGGTTTTAATGATATMATCATCACGAAATAGAAATTAAGAAGAATTCTTTTTTCTCTTCTGACTAGYTTTYTTTYKCTATTCAAGAATGCAWGTGACGGAATAMAGGTTGTGACAGTKGTAATRTACWCRGGCTAAGTTTARAAMTGCGCAATAAATTCWTTTATTCGCAAAAAYCACGTTACATGAAAGGCAAGGGCTGTTCGGGTGTTAAAARCGCAATAGAAATAGTTATTAATCTAACAGGCTATGCAGATGTGAAAATTTTACCCAAAATGGAATGAAAGCACAATGAATAAAAAAGAACTGGAAAACTGGAAGAAACTAAGAGTATTTTCAGTGAAGTTGCAAAACGGTATCATCACGTGCTGATACCGTGTGCACGTGCAAGTAGGGGCTGCTCAAGCTGATAATGAGTTTACAATAAATCTACACTGCATACAAAACGTCTTGAAAGAATATTCGACATTGAGTTTGCGTGTCGATGCTTCGCCTTAATGATACTAGTGGACCTCTTGACAGACCCGCTAAGAATGCCATAAAATCCACCTATATGTAAGCGTGATTTTCCTGGGAGAAAAAGGAAACGACGATTTTCTTTTGGATGAGCCATTGTTAATATATGGAAAAATGACCGCCCAATACACTGCATATTCTAAARTGTCTCCAAAGTGGGTAGTAGCTATTTTGATTCGTGTGAAGAACGTTTTGAATACTTACTAACTTAAACAATTAAAGTAAATGAGCTGATGATGTTTCATCTCCAAAAATGTTAAGCCTAGGTTATTTTCAGTCGCACAATCTCAAAAAAAAATATTGGTAGTTTTTCATTCCTTATTAAATCAAAGTCTATGTCWCACGTAGTCAAATATCAACGGCCTTCGACGAGGAAGTGGACTGACCACCAGAGTGMGTGAAATGTTCCACGATATTTCTTTATTTGTACCTAATATTGAACACTCGTATATTGATAATCATAATCCTATTCAAACAACAGAAGTCATGGCGACTAACCAGCTTCTAAGGCACCGTCCTGTCATGTACTTGAGTATAACTTTCCATTTTTGGGTACAAAAATCTTCTGAAAAGAATTTACTTGGCCATGAGGCCTACTGATGTACATACCTCTAGTGTCAAATCTAACTGATGACAGTAAAAATCATCTTTGCATACTTAATACATTTTTGCCCTCTTTCCCTCTCTAGGAATTCAGTCACAAACGAGTCTCAATGCTTCCATTTTTTATTTTGATTAATTCCCCGAAACCTAATTACAATCAATTAAACGAAATACCGAGATTATATGAATATAGCTAACCATTTCATGCACAAGTCCCTTATTGAGATTCTTTTCTCGGGATGGTGGGATAATAGGGGTTTAACGAGGGTAGCTAGGCAGGTTCTGTTCACATTGGTAATATTAAGATTTTTTGATATGCGATGGTCGACGTGGTGATTGACAGGGATGRAAAATTAATGKATCTKAAAAGGAATCCCTGAGAAGCGAATTTCAAATAAGAGCCTTTGGTTAGCAAAGCATTTTGTTKGGACTTAGACCTGGGACAAAGYATGATCGATATCCACTTTTAGCAATTATTAATGATTGTGCCGTTCAATGCCACAAATTCAGCCACGCAGGAGCCACATCTYCTCATACGACACTTGGCATTGGGGTGAGATGGACATGTTGCACCTATGCAGGGATCCGCGACACATTGAACCAAACGCTCGCCCTTTTTACAATGACAACGGCCGCGTCCAGGCTTGTGAGGAATGGCGATGCCATGTTGGTCGTAGAATATCGCATTGCAGCCGCCACAATAGTTGGCTTTACATGTTTTGGTGTTGTAAGCTGGGCATTTATTTACTCCACAAGGGTCGGCAAAGCAATAAACGATACGTTGGCCAGGTGGACACACTGAAAAACCACAAAGATACACATTGGTATAAGAACAATAGAATTTGATATTCTGATACGCGCACCAGAGTAGAGTACAAACATTAAATGTGTGCAACACTTTCCACTATTTACTACAAAATAGATAGTGTTAATTAAACAATAGAATTAGCATAGTTTAGCAGTATTTAGTGGTATTTATGTCAGTGCACAGTTTCAGTGTTTGTACTCCAATATAAATCATTAAAATTACGTACGGCATTCAGTGAATCATGATCTAATCAAAATTGAATTTTTTTTTATTTCTTTTTTTTTTGGGGGGGGGGGGRGGGGGCAGTACGCTGCCCCTTCTAATATCATTTCAGTTTGCCATGTAATATACTCACGTGGTTTACGCTTAACACAAAGCTTCTTGCACCATATTTCCATATCCAGCACACCCTCCGTAGTAGAACTGACGGCAAGCATCAGCTCTGCTACTATAGTAGTATCTCCCTATGGTCCGTTGAAGACAATTGCCAGGGTCAGGCAGTTGTTTGCACACAGCACGGGAACGGTTGACTATTTTGAAAAGAAAAAAGCAATTGTAAGCTTGAACTTTAAGAGCCATGACATAGTGTTTATCATAAGCCATCGCACTCATAGTGATCGTTATCTTTATTATATCTACCTCGATATTCTGTCTATATATATATAAATAGAGGATATTACATGGACGCACGGAAATACTAATTTTATCTTCGAGTGTTCGATCGATATTTTTTAGTGTTCAATCGAGATTTTTTCAACGCTAGAAGATAAAATTTGTATCTCAAGCGACCATGTAATATTCTGTTTATCATATACATATCAGTCTATCGATCTATCGATCTATTATACACACTATTGATCTAATTGGCTGAAAAAAAGTGTCACCATGCAAACAATGATATCTTCACATGTGAATTCTTTTCATGGTTCAAGATATTGCATTTTTACAACTTGAGAAAACCTAKTATCTCATCCATATGTATATAATATGTATATTTTGTGATCGATGACAAAACCGATTCATATTATCTTGCTGTTCAGTTGCATTTTGAAATCATGATAAATGTCGTATTAAGAAATTATGCTAAAACTTCAAAAATTCCGTTGTCGTATTCTACCTACCTGGTTTACCATGAACAATATAGTAAGCTTCAAATCCAGGTCCTGACACTGACCGGTCAGATGTAAAGGTGATGTCCACTCGACTTGCTTCAGTAGCTGTGACCGTTACGGAAAAGTTGCTCCTAAAGCCACTGTACTGACCAATCAGATCGCCTTTTTCATTGTTAATTCTGACGTAATCACAGCTTGAAACGTAATCATAAGAAAATTATCTAAGTCATCACTTTTAGGAAGCATTTTTTGCATCTGATAAAAACTGACAAAACCCAATTATAATCTTGAGTACTTACCAGGCTTAACGCTTCCGTATGGAATTTCATAAAATTCCAAACGCAATCATAAGAAAATCGCATAAAAAACGCAGTCATAAGAAAATCTAATTCATCACTTTTAGGAAATATTTTTTACATTGATAAGAACCAACAATATAAGGTGTTCTTGAGTACTTACCAGGCTTCCGTATGGAATTTCGTAAACTTAATCGTGACATTTCCTCCACTCGGCAAAGCAAYATGCCAGTTACACTTTGAGTTATCAGGGTAGCGGACTTGCCGGCGCCMATAATGCCGAGGACTTCTGAACGAACCAGYATTCTTGGTTAGAGGACGGGAGCATTTGCTTGGCTTTACGACAGGAACTAAAGTTGGATAATTATAAATGCCTCTATTTTTGATAACTTTAATAAGTTTTTTTTCAATGACTGAGAGCRCAAAATYCGTGWAATGAAATAACTATGAAGCGTTTTCATAAATCCGTGAAATACAATTTAGCTGTTTCCACATATTATTTGCCTCTATTTAGTTGGGCGTTGTCCTTAACCTTTTCATTGTATATTTAGTTACACATCTTTTGTTTCATGAGTTTGCTTCAAATAATCCAATGTTTCACACCTAAAGACTTACCGTCATTCAGCAAGGTGAAGAGAAAAACCAAGAAAAAAACCCAGAACTTCATCCTCTGCTTCTGCAACTGAGAACAAGACAACTCGTCAGAAACGTGAAAGTTCGTGAGGCGACTAACTATATTGAGACAAATATCTATAACGACTCATAAGGTTCAGAACTGAGTCCGTTTGGCATTAACCTGGATAGCACCTTCATGTTGCCTTTGAGTTCGCACTTGCATTATACCCCCAACTGAACAAAATGGCTTCGTACTCTCGAYTTCTTGCCTCATGATCATTTTGGAATAAAGCGTGCAGACACTAGAATCTGTACTACTTATAGGCTAGAATCCCCACACAAAATAATGTTGAATTGTCACATAATGTTTATTAAAGACGTACGCACAATATTTACCTTGAACAAGCAATAAGTTTCTCTTCTCTTTTGATGCACAAACCTTGGATCCCAAAATTCTCTGAGGAGTCTCCGCTCGTGTCTCATATTTATATTCAAAATATTGCTCAAAATATGGAGATTATTTCAAGTATAAAGTTTCTCTCACACTATCATTCAGGAACATGCTGCCGTTYGCAATTTAGGGTTGATCTCAGGAAGTATTTTTGGGTGGAACATGTGATTTCCTAAACCGACTGCAACGACTTTCTTTATTCTCACCGTACTTTTCGATGTAAAAGATCGAGTTGAGACAAGCAGTGCGTGGACTGTCTGCTTATCAAGCTTTCTTCTTTCATATCATACCTATCTGCTTAGATTTTATTCTATATCCTTAGTATTTTACTACATTCATTGCATGTGAAAACGTCGTGGCTAGCAAGCTGTTTGGCCCGAAGGCCGGAGTTTTGCACAGCACAAATTAAATCGGAAAGGAGAAGTAGACTGTCAGATGGGCTAGGCACATGAAACAATTAAACCTCGCCTAGCGAATTGTAAAGGAAATGCCAAAAAATAAAAACATGTATAAAACCTATTTGTGAAGWTTGAAATGTGAAGAAGTTGGACATTTAGAAAAAGGTAAACGAAAAGATCAAAAGAGTGTGCATTTTCGAAAGGAAGCTATTTTTACACAGATATCATACCTTTAATTGCACAAGTGGAGATGAAGAAACCTATATTATTGCAATCAGCCCTTCCAGTGTGATAATTATACTTTCTTTTTAGTTTATGAAACTCGATATTAATAAATTACCTACTATTTCTCAAATGTTAATTTAAAGCATGCATATTTTGCCTGTTCTACCCAGAGACCCAGCCTCATTCCTGGCGAGACACCCAGCCCTGAAATAGGATACCTGACTAGACCTGCACCAGTGTCCCAGGAAGTCCTCAAAGCTGCATGGTACGGAAGTTGCCCATATGATCTAAAAATGTCGATTATTTGACCTTCTGTCGTCACTTCCTACGATTCATTCCCAGCCAAAAGCTATCCATTACTGGGTTTCAAAATATGTGGTTTATCACCTTTCTGCAGCTTAATATTTACTCCTCAGTAATAATAAGGACACATGTCAATACAACTTTCTTCAAAATCACTGGCTCTCTTCTAATAGCATAATTTTTCTTGACATAATGTTTGACCCTCAAAATGTTGAGGTATTGGCTTCTCTTATAAGCTGTGTAGAAATCTAGTAAGGTCAATATGTGAAAATCCCTTCCTTGTAAAGAGAAAATTTAACCCATTTTAAAGAGAAATGTATAGTACAAAATCCAAGATATTGAAATAATTCTTTTGATTCAGAAAGAAATCAAAATGATAAATTGATCCTTTAATTTAACATTAATTAGTTTAATTCTAAATAACAAGGTACATATAAACTGAATGGACTGTATGAGTTTAAAAAATTTAATTTCAGTTGAGATACAAGATTTACTACAATTGTTCATTGAAATAGGCCTTGGTCGGCTAACATTTATCAATTACTGTGCCGTTCAGCGCSACAAATTCTGTCACACACGAGTCGCATCTTCTGGCTCGACACTTTGCATCAGGGTGCCCTGCACATGTTGCATTTTGGCATGGATCCACCAGGCATTCCACAGTGGATTGGTTTGGTTGGCAATGGCAACGATGGGAAGGGATTTTGATGTTATGTTGGTCGTAATAAACTGCGTTGCATCCACCGCAGTAGTTCGCTTTACAACTGCTAGTRACAATGTACGCAGCACAGGACGACACTTGGCATGGATTTGCAAAGCATCTMACTACAGGTTGACCWGGTGGACAAACTGRAAAACAAGACAARGATGAGTTAGGGAACTTCTCCAAAACAGGAATTTATATTGAGCAAGTCTGTTGACATTTGATAACATGGATGTTTTTACAGAAGWAATCTGTATTTACTGGACGGATTAGGAGTAGAAATCAGGCAMAGAAGCCGTTACAACCAAATCGGTAAGGAGGAGGGTTGGAAGAGACCAGGGCCCTKAAAGGACAGAAAAAAWTCCACAGAAMACACTTACGTGGTTTTCGTTTGGGAATGCAAAGCTTTTTGCAGTCTTCAATCTTCTCAAAGTTATTTCCATTCCCTTGGCATCCACCATAATGAAATCGACGGCAAATCTTCCTCTTGCTGTCATAAAAGTAACGCTTAAACATGGCCCTGCATGGGCCAACAACCTTGGGAAGGTTGCACACTGCAGGAGACAGTCGAGCTGTAGGAAAGAATTCTATTTTTAATAATGARTAAACCAGGGGCAGTTTCTCTGAGGAGAAGACAAAAGGGTTTAAAAAGAGACTTGAAGGTCTCTAAAGAGATCCAATGGAAGATAAAATGCTAAGGAATTAGATTGTAAGATGTTTTAGTTAAATGAATGTTGCAGTACATGCTCAATATCTTACGTTCTAGTCTTATTATCGCGGCCTTTGCTTTCTGATTCAGGTGTTTCAACGCCAARTTAAGTTGTGCATTTTCATCCTTGGTCAACGCGGCTGAGCTGACACTTTTCATCGTTTCAATACTCTTTAAGCCTTGATATAGCTCACCTAGAACAGTGTAAAAYCATGATAAGATTGCTYYCCTTAGCGTTAAARGGACATGGTCCACCAGCATTCAATGCGGTCGTGTTTTTCAATTTTTCATATATGGAAAATGAGATGAATTCAAATATCCATTCGCAATCCGTTTCCATCCATCGGTTTAAAGGTCGAATCTTGCCTACAGTATCTTCATTCATAGAGTATAAAGGAATAATAAAGAGTAAGTTTTTGCTTACATTACGATGTATTCCCATTTTTAAACATGAGCAAAAGCTCGAAAGGGATGCTGGCGAACCATGTCCCTTTAAGAAAACGCGATGTGACGAAGGGTGATACTTACTTTTAAACGTCACAATGTTCTTTGTGTGCTTTATATTGGGCTGAAAATAAACACAAAAAATRTAACACCAATGCGCCACTAAGTGAAAAAAGAAAKCGAAAGATCCAGTGATCTATTCAAATATGTATAAATTCGTAAACAAAATATCTTCAAGTTTTCACGAATAGCATGATTTAGCTTTCAATACTTTAAGTAGGGCCTTACCGAACCCAAGACTGCATTTATAATTCTTGTCAAAGCACCGGCCATCCTTAGGAATGCCCTGAAGTGAAATACGAAAAAAGTTAGAGTTATGAAACCACCGGGAAAACGTCTTATCCCAAATTTGGCCCATCAGTTTGCGTATCCCAAACCCAGATAAGAGACTTTGAAATACAACTTACTCCATTAACGATGAACCTGCTCCTGGTGCAACMATTGTAACGTGAGGAACTTTTGAAGGGACTGAAATTTTAARAAWKG